TCATTCGAGATCGCGCCTTTCAAGAGATGTTTTTGACCCTGTTTTGAAATATAAACAAGTAGGCGGAGCTTAATCAAACACGCTTGACAATTAGTTAAAGCGGCAATCCCTCTATTTATTAGGGATTGCTCGCAGTCTATAATTTATTATACTCTAAAATCATAAAAATACAAATAGTTGTCGAATGAAATTCAATGTTTTGGATACCGACATGTAGACAAAGCCTTTGTTTATATACAGACTGTACCGCACTTTAAACTTAATGTACACCCTCCCCCCCTTACGGACGAGTTCAATAAAATTTGAACCCCTTTTAGGTCCTATAAAGAAGAAAAGATCGATCACAAACACCCCACACCCAGAAATTAAGAAATTTTTGCCTTACCCCTCAGAAAAAACGCAAAGATCAAAGGATGCCGATGCACACAACCCCCGAGAAACAGCTTTTTCAACCCCCCTCAGAAACTCTCGTCTATGGGGGTGGGGGGGGGGGGTATAATTAAGTGGTGGCCCCATCTTCGCTAGTAAACAAGTCCGAATTGCGACAGATTTCTAGTCTTTAAGCTTCGCCAATTTCTCACGACAAGCAACAAATCTCTTCAGACGCTTCTCTGTGACCTTTAGAAGTGATTGTGAAACATCCTCAAAATGAATACAACATTTATTCAATTTTAAATGTTTGAGTGACCAACTTGTTTCAGTCGCCATATTGCTTTTATCCGCGCGTGGCAGCTATGTTGCCATGGAAACACGCGCGATTTCAAGATGGCGTAAACGAAACAATGATCGAATATTATCAAAGTTTCAAGTCTATTTTCTACCTATTGTGCACGCTAGTGAACGGGGGCTTTGTATTTCATGAACAAGGAGACTAATATGGATTGTGTTATGGCGGAATTTTTTAGCCTCGCGACATGTGCAACGAACTTGAAAGATATAGCAGATATGTGACGGCCTACTAGTTTTGACGGGGCCAAAACTAAATTTGAAGATTTCTGGTTATTGTTTGAAAGCTTGGTTGATTGTTCTAAAGAACCGGTAAATATTAAGATGGCTCGACTGCGTCAGAGCCTGTCCGGTGAAGCCTTGGTAGCTATCAGGGGACTGGGCGTTTCTAGTCTTGAATATGAAGAGGCGAAAAGTATTTTAAAAACGAAATTCGGTGGACAGAGACGGCAATTACGTGCATATTTAGATCAGTTAGAAAGTTTGCCTCAAATTAAACCGAGGGACACAAAGGATTTTGAACGCTTTGCTGATTTAGTTCGTGTGACAGTAGTGAAGTTAAAGGCTGAAAACCGTCAGGGAGAGTTAGGCAATGGTTCCCTGCATAGCTTACTCGTGAGAAAGCTGTCAGATAGAGACCTTGAAATGTATAGTAGGTGGCTTGGAGAAGGTAGTCGTGAACAATCAGTGATTAGTCTCAGTGATTGGCTCAAAGAGGAAGCGAAGATTCGTGTAGAAGCGATGGAGATGGGCCATGGGGTTCGACATGATCCTAATGTTGGTGATTCGCGACAGTCACAGGAACGGAATAGATACAGAAAGTCGTATACAGTGTACTCCGAGCAGGAAGATGACCCACCAGGGGTACCAAGAGTGAAAGCGTGTTCGGGGTGTGGTGCGAGCGACCATAAAGTTTGGAAATGTAGAGTGTTTCGTAGTACGAATGTTGATGAGCGCTGGCGAATTGCAAAAGAGAGACGGTTGTGTTTCCGTTGCCTTGGTAGCGATCATCAAGGCAAGGACTGCAGAAGATCTCAAAAATGTGGAATTAATGTCATCTTAGTCTTCACAGTTTACTGCACAATCCTAAACAAATAGAAAGCAAGTCGAAGAAGGAACAATCAAAGGATGAGAACCCCCCCTGGAACTCCACGGGAGGGGGTACAAGATGGTAAGCCTACTGTTTCCATGACAACCTGTAATGCTGAACCACCTGAGGATTACTCGTTACGAACTATCCCTGTATGGATTAAAGCTAACGGAAAGAAATTTAAGGTTAATGCAATTCTCGACGACGCTTCAAATGAGACATTCCTCAACCAAGACGTTGCTGGAGTACTAGGAATCCAGGAGCCATTTGAGAAAGCGAAAGTTCATGTACTCAACGATTCTGAAGACACTTTCGAATCAATGCCAGCTACCGTAATGATTGAAAGTGTGGATGGCCAGTTTAGCAAAGAAGTTCGAGTGAGAACGTGTCCAAGAAACGTAACTGCGAACTACCGCGTAAAGAATTGGTCGAAGCAGCAAAGTCGATGGCCACATCTGGGTCCCCGTAGTTTTCCCAAGCCGGCGGGCGATGGTACCGTAGATATGCTTATATAGGAGTTGACAATGCTGACTTGCATTTATCGATGGTCGACATTCGCGCAGAGAATGGGGGACCGGTAGCAAGACGCAGGGCCTATTCTAAGGAAATTTCAATACTGCACACTTCAGAGCAGGTGCCATCAATGACGTCACCTTGTGACCTCATCTTTGAATGTTATGTTTTTATATAGAACATGATGACAACATACAGGGTGTCCCCCCAAAAGTAAACCCTTTCAAATTCAAATCAGCCATAACCTATTGTAGTAATTCGTTGATGCGACACAAATGACCACCTCGTTCCCCGGCTCTTCCCTCTTGTGGAGTACACCGGCTTTTCTGGACATGAAAATATTGAATATTGCAATTATTACTGGAACTTGGCACATATTTGGCCAATCTTTGTTTGTGCCTTTGCTCATTTTGTTGCAAGGCATTTTGGAATTCTCGACTTTATATTTCATCTACTTCGCTCCTTCAGCACATCTAATACAAAGTTGAAATTTATTTCAAACTTCAAATTTCAATACTGCACACTTTCGCATTCAATACTGCACACTTTTTATTCAATACTGCACGAAGTGTGCAATACTGCACACTAAAGTAGGCCCTGGCAAGACGAGGACCTCTAGGATGGACATGTGTGGGAGATTTCAATGAAGGAGCTTTATCCAGCAAAAGAGCTCACGTAATCCGCACCTTCCTCTCAAAACAACCGAGTAACGTAGCAGGAAATTCTTGTTGTGACATTGATGATACTTTAAAAAGTTTTTGGGAGATTGAAAGCTGTGGAACTGAAGCAAATGATGTGAAAGTTTTGACGGAGGAAGAAAAGAAAGCTCTCAATTTGGTTGACAAGTCACTGTTGTACGAAAATGGAAGATATCAGATATCCGTTCCGTGGAAAGACGACAAGCCGAAGCTTCCCAGTAACCGCCCTATGGCCACTTCACGTCTTTATAGCACCGAGAAAAAATTGCAGCAGAATGACTCCTTAGCAAAAGAGTACCAGACCACCATCGCCGATTACATTGATAAAGGATACCTACGAAAAGTTCCACCAGATGAAAAGCCGCCGCCAGAAGTTTGGTACTTACCACACTTTCGCATCATCCGTATGGATAAGTCAACAACGAAGGTCAGAATGGTATTTGATTGTTCTGCGAAATACGAAAGGATATCCCTCAACAACGTCATTTACGCTGGCCCAAAGCTTCAGAAGAATCTGTTTGACGTGTTAGTTCGTTTTCGTCGGAATCCCATTGCCTTGGGGTGTGACATAAAAGAGATGTTCCTTCAAATAGAACTAAAAGAAAAAGATCGTTCGTATTTCCTAATTCTGTGGCGTAATCTTGACGTGAACCAAGACCCACAAGAATACGAGTTCAACCGCGTCGTGTTCGGTAAAAACTCGGCGCCGATGGAGGCTCAGTTCGTCTCACAAGAAAATGCACGTCGCTATGAAAGCCTCTATCCAGCCGCTGCAGAAACGGTGTTAAAGTCAACATATGTAGATGATTCACTTGATAGCGTTGAGGATAAAGAGCACGGAATCGATCTATACGAACAGTTAAAGGAGCTTTGGGGACTTGCTGGTATGAAAGCTAGAAAATAGATTTCGAATTCTCCAGACGTCATGGCTGCTATTCCTGTTGAAGATCGTGCTACCGAGTTTTCCATCAACGACTGTCAAGATCATGTTACAAAGACGCTAGGTCTATCGTGGAACAGTTCAGATGATGTTCTCACAGTTCCTACATCAGCAACATCTTCTGATTTAAAGATCACAAAACGCCATGTATTAAAGAAAATAGCTACAGTCTTCGACCCACTAGGTTTCGTTAGTCCTGTTGTTGTTCAAGCAAAAATCCTCCTACAAGAACTATGGTCCAGAGGATACGAATGGGATGAAACAGTAACCGATGAGCTTGCTAACCTTATCGGGAACTGGTTTAATCGATTATCGAGTTTAACCAACGTGAGAGTCCCCAGGAGTCTACGCGAACCTAAGCCATTTGCGTCAACAGAAGTCGTGACATTCGTCGACGCGTCGAAGGAAGCGTATGGTGCTGTAGCATATCTCCGTCACAGTTACGAGGATGGAACTGTAACAAGCAGAATGATTGCATCGAATAGTAAAGTCGCGCCTGTAACTCCCATAACCATTCCAAGATTGGAACTTATGGCTGCCGTGCTAGGGTTACCCAATCGATCGTCGAAGTGTTGGAGTTGTCGTTGAAGGAAGCGTTTTTCTATTCCGATAGCATGGATGTGTTATGGTGGGCTCGAGGCAAAGGAAGAGATTTCCGAGCGTTTGTGGCCAATCGGATAGGCGAGTTGCAGATGTATACTGATCCAGCGCAGTAGCAACATGTTCCAACTGATGAGAACCCCGCTGACTTGTGTTCAAGAGGAGCCACCCCAAACGAGTTAAACAAAAGCATACTTTGGTGGAATGGTCCCGAATGGTTGATGAAAGATCGAAATGAATGGCCCCAGATGAAGACCGAAACACGGCCTCAAGAAATACCAGAAGTAAAGTTACCAAGCAAAAGCTCGAGGAAACCAAGCCTTGAAACCAGATCGCATGTTAGTCGTCAACGAATGGTATCGCCCGAGAATAAGGCAAACGAATGGAGATTGGACCCCACCCGTTTTTCGAATTGGACGAGGTTGGTACACGTGCACGCAAGAGTAAGCAGAGCAGTTCACAACATGCAACACAGAGCGGTCGACAAAGTGACCAGTATTGAACTGCAACCGCACGAGATAGCAGAAGCTCGAGAGGCGATCATAAGAAATGCACAGAAAGAAGCATTTAAGGATGATTACAAAGCGTTAGTGGGAAAACGACCATTAGCTGTAAACAGTCCGTTAGTTAAGTTGAATCCACGACTGGATGAAAGTGGCGTTATCCGATCAACTAGTCGTTTGGAGTTTGCGGAATATTTGTCCTACGATACTAAGTTCCCGATCATACTACCTCTGAACATTGAACATTGAACAAGGAGAAAGTTAGACACACTGGGTTTTATTCCCAATGTGGGAAGGGGGAATGTGGAGAAGTGACTGTATATGTATATATTGACATTTAAATTGTGATTAATTAATAGGAAAACGAACAGACAATTTGCATAAATTAGGCGAACAGACATTTTAGCATAAATTAGGGGCGTAGCCAAGACAGTGATTTCGTATGATTCGAGCTTGGATTTGTAAAATAAAGAGTTGAGTTTTTTATAGTTGTTTTTCGTCGTTTTTTAATCGAAAGTTTTATAGTCTCGTGAACAGATATAGACCAACACGGAGCTTGGCTTTTTTAAAATCCTTTAATAAAGCTGGAGAAGATGGAAAGCATTTTAAGCTTTTAGAGATAATTTTAATTTGCTCGACAACCATGAAATTTGTGCTGACGGGAAGAGAAGGGACAGAATACACAGTGGACATTTGCAGTAAACCCATTTGTAGTTGCCCTTTCTTCACTCGTCATTCCTTAGGCAAAAAGAAAATTCCATGCAAACGTAATGACGAGCGTGTTTAAAATTTCCAAACAGAGTGACCTGCTGCAGCAAGTGGCTCTAAACGAATCAGAAATCAAAGTGATGTTGAAAGATGCACCAGCTGAAGGAAACTACCGTCAGGTACCTGCAAACAACGATGGTCAATCAACAACGGAAACACGGCATACTGTTTCACTAACGCCCGAAGAAATGGAGTCTATTTTTGAAAGAAAAAGCCCACTGAACCGGAGCAGGTATGGAAAGCCGCAAAACGTGAAGCCCGAGTAAACGCATGCTGTTGTACTTGCAAGAGTACAATTCCAGGAGGAAAACTATATATTAGCCGTTTTCACATTAGAAGACGGTCAAGTCGTCTAGACGAACAAATCGTGTCAATTGCAAAATCGTTTTTTAGTCGGACAAATCATCAGATGTGAAAACGTGTCGGACAAAATTTTAGACGAACAAGTCGTCTGAATTTGTTCGACTATTTGTCCGTCTGTGAAGACGATTTTTGAGAGACGATTTGTTCGTCTAGACGACTTGTTCGTCTCTAATGTGAATAGGGCTATTGTTGTGAATGGGCTATACATTCCAAGTAATCAAACGTTTTCCGTCAGTCGTCAATTTTACTTCCGCGCAGACCTTCGTTGCATTGCAATAAAACCATTTGCCAGCAGTATTCAAACACCAACGAGTGAAGTTAACATCCTGCAAGATTCACAGCTATCAACTGAAGATATATGTCTCCTTCGAAACCGAGGACTCCCAATAAAATAAAACGAATAAATTGAGTCATTTACATTGAAACAAACAGGAACGTAAGAACGTCAGGATTCTATCCACTTTATAATCCCCGAGTCGACGGCGCGAAGCGCCGTGCGAGGGTACTAATTCCCCCCGGCTATTTACACCCGGGGAAACGAAAGCATTAGCGGAGTCTAAAGTTCATCAATTATCGCACGCGTGGGTCACCAATGGTGTTGGGTGGGTGGTCATCCTCACTGATCTCAAAAATATGCTGGACTATCACGAATAGCGGACACTGATTGGTCCAATTTAAAGTTTGCATTATAACGACTGCATGACGACAGCGAAATAGCAAACATTTCTTGATTTGATGATTGATAAATTTCTTGCAAATATATTTCATTTTGCTCGCATTTTCGCAAGATTTTGTGAATTTCAAAAGCTCTTTGAGAAAGAAACTGCGAAAGAATCGGCTAAAAAGAAGGGGGCCGACGTTAACGAAGGTAAGTTTGTTTTAAATATTGATTTTATAATGGATTTAAAACCCGACGGCCTTTGGGCTTTGGCTTTGCATATATGAAACAACTAAACAAAACAGCATATAATTTCAGTGTATCTTTAATATTGATTCCTTTCTTATGATATTGAGTTTTTTAAATAAAAAAGAAAGCAAAGTTATTTGCAAACTCAAAGTTTATCGATAAAGCCATTTTAAAAGGCAGTTTAGTTTTTGTAACACTATAGTGACTTTGAAAACGTTTTGCGAAGCGTTTGTGGTTGAATTTTACCTTAAATTGAGGCTTATATTACGTATAATAACATACCTAACATATATATGTTGGGAAATTAATAATTTTGTAATTAAAAGTGATATTTTTAGGCGATTTTTCATTTGTAAGAATATTCTTAAAAAATTATCGTGTTACCATGACAACTACTTTACATACTTCATGTTCGGAAAATACAATGGTTTTGTCAGCAAGGCGAGGGTTTCTGCATGCATGTATTATTTAAAATATTGTTTTGTTGTTTTGTTGTGGATAAACGATCCACTAAGAGTAATTATTACGAAAGTCACCCAACTGTGGAATCGCATCAAAAATTCGTATATCGGCCACTCCCACAAATGTCTACGACCGCACCTACATAGTTTTGCATGTTTACAATTCTAATTTTGAACAGCCAATCAGGTTCTTGGTAACAACTACAATTAAACGTCGATTGGCTGTTTAATATTAGAATTGTAAACATGAAAAAATATGTAGGCCCGGTCGTAGACATTTGTGGGAGTGGTCGATATACGAATCTTTGATGCGATTCCACAGTTCGGTGACTTTCGTAATTACCTGTTGAGTGTTGTTAAATTTAATATTAATTTAATATGAAAAAACTAAAATATTGTTAATCAACGATGATAGTTGTGATTGTTATTGATAATCGTTTTACGTTAGCGATTTATAAGTTCTTTTCGGGAGAATTTCTGTGAATTGAAAATTTGACAATTTAATTTTGCACTCGTTGACATACTCCAATAGTTGGGGCTTAACTCGAGCAACAACTTTTTGTCAAACTTCGAGTTAAGCCCCGGGGATTAACTCGAATAACCTAAATCGTGTTTCGTTCCTCGAGTTAAGCCCTTTTTGAAAAAGGGCGTGGTCGAGGCTTAACTCGAGGGGCTTAACTCGAAGGGCTTAACTCGAAGATTCCCGACCTCAAGCTATCAAAGTTTCAAGAAATTTGGAGAACGCATAGGCGGTGCACCACTGAGCTGTATAATAACTGGAGGACCTGCTCCTATACTTCGTTCAGTCGACGAAGTGAAGCAAAAAAAATGGCGGATTTTGACGTTTGCTCACCCCATTTCCATGACAACTGGTCCGTAATTCTCACACAATTGCCACTGACCAACCGCGATCCTGAGCTTCAGACGACGTTTTCATCCCTCTGGTTTTGGCAGTGTTTTTAGTTAATATTTTCTCGTATTTTGCAGGGTTTTTTTTTTCAACTTGGAAGGAATTAAAGTGCCGTTTTGCTCCGCTTGCTGATGCAACAATTTACTTTACATAAAGGACGAGTAATCCTTTTCACAGGTAAGATTTATGGGACGGATAGTACGAAATTATAAAAATATTTTGTCAAAACTCAACACTAGTTCACTTATGTTGATGATACCTTAGACTGTCATGGCGGAAGGACGTGCTCTTAATAAGCTCCATCAAAATGTTGCTAATACAAATGAAAATAGTTGTCTGAATTCCTTCCTTACTAGTGCTAGTTGCACTAAACTGCCTGGCATGTCTTATGATGGAGTACGTTTAAAGTGGACCGGTGATTTAACAAATTTAAAACGAATTGTACGAGAAGTGTGGGGCCTCGAAGGCAAATGGTCATCACCTGGGGGCCAGTCGAAGAAGTTTTCAAGCACAAACTCTGACTTAGTAGTCACATGGCATAAAGGTAAAGCAAAATCAGTGCTTTTTAAAGGTAGAGACGGTGTTTCGGTGCGAGATCGATGTATATTGCTTTGCGAACAAGCAACTCAGTCCATGCTAAAGCCACATTTGTCAGACTCCAATGAAATTAAACTCTCGCAGCAAAATATTACAAGTGCGTGTGATTGTCCTAACCTATCGGACAGAAATATGAATGTCGCCATCGATTCCCCTTCCCCGGTTGAAAGTATACAAGGCAGAACTATCCATCGTTCAGCTCCCGCTTTTGTCAATAATCATTGCCAGACTGAGCATATGGAGCTGAATAATAATAATTGTGGTTGTGACTGCGGAATTCTGGTTGCTGAGTTTGAAGGAATAAAGCTTGATTTAGTTATTTTACAAAAGAAATTTGAGACTGAATTTGCGACCGAACGTACCAATGTAAGCCAACTTAAGCGAGAACTTGCTCATGAAAAAGATAAAAACAGTCGTCTTGAGTCGGACTTGACTTTGTTTGTGAGAGAAAGAAATGCCGAATTCGATGAATTGAATGAAACAATAGCCTTACTTAACGACAGAATCGAAACCAGTGAAGCGATTATTGATCAACTGAGACCTTCTAATGCAAGCATAAATTTGGAAGAAACATGTACTTTTGATTCTGCTCAATCAAAAGATGAACTTGTCAGAAAATATCCAGTTTGTGTCGACATTAGTACACAAACCAAGAATGACGATCAAAAATTATCTAATAAGAATGCTGGTCAGTTTTGCATGAGTGAAAATGCGTATGTTAATCTCCTTAATAAGGTTGCCGAAGTGCGCAACGAAACGGCTCATTCCATTAGTCAACCTCGCATAAATAAAAACGTTAATGCGAATTCCTCTAAGAATTTGGTCGCATGTCCATTCCTATTAAAGAAAGGACATTGTTTAAAGGGATCAATGTGTGATTTTTCTCACAATATTAGCCAAAGTCGCATAAGCAAAAAGGCAAGCGTGAATAATTCCATTGTGTCAGCAGAAGTTGCAACCTCTATTAAATACGATAATAAACAAGTAAGAAACAACAATCAAGCCACTTTTGCGGAGGTAGTGACATCTAGCCCTGCATTTAATACCTGCAACACACTTGAAAAATCTCCCACCAACAAATCCCAAAACAATTCTCTGCAAATAATCAATGATCCATCTAGTGACTTTGCTGACGGGTTTATTGGTGTTCACCGGAGACGTAACAGAGTTAAGAAATTCCTGTTAAGCTGAAAACGTAAAAGAATGTCAAATTGTTTCCTATCTGAAACAACGGAATATAACACCTACATATATTTCCGTTTTTCCAAGCAAAAGAAAAGGTACGACATCGGCTAAAATCCATTTTCGTTCGGCCGATTGTTCGTTAGTGCAACAACAAAATTTCTGGCCTCAGTTTGTCAACTGCAAGATTTGGCAATCAAAAGGAGAAATTAGATCTA